TCGACAGATTGGCTGAGTACTCCAGATTCAGAACCTCTGTTTGAGGTCATTTCACTCAAACCGCTAGAATTTTGGTTCCAAATTCAGGCTGCTGTTAAAGCTTGTTGTAAATGATTTGATTCTGGTGTTTTCTGAATGTTTCCTTCATTTTGAAAAGCGAAGAAAATCCGATTCGAAACGGATGCTCTTCGGATCGATAAAAATTCTCAATTTTTTTATTTGTTTCCTTGCACTGCATGATGAGAATGTTCATGTGCGAAGACACACGACTATTCGAAACAATCGAATTGCGCCATCACGAACATACTGAAAATTGTGTTACGGTTGAAGAATAAAAAGTTCGCGCCGCTCTTAATTTCAGTTAACTTTCGGAAAGTACATTATTCGGCCAAACGTAGATTATACAGCTTTGCTGAGAGTATTCTTCGTTCACGAACGAACGAATTGTTCGGGTCGATCGTGCTACTGGCACTACCAGCACTTAGACGATTATTCAAGCAGCAAAAATGGAACTGGATGGAAAATGTTTGATGGAAAATATGAACTTTAGCGAGAAAGGTGATAATGATGTGCACACACACACACTCGTCGGCACTAACGTAACGATAGTCGAACACGAACGCGATACGCGTGCGCTGAACAATGTCAATAGCCCACCAACGCCGAACGCTAAAGCGAACCCATTCTGCGTGGTTGGTCTTGAAGGGAATACGAAAATCGCTTTGTGCAACATACGATATGTGAACTTTGAATGTAAACGCATAGCTCTCTGGAGCTTTAAAATTGCATCGGTTCAGACGAATTTTCGTTCAGTCGAATAATTTTTTAAGATTAGTCTTGATATTGGTTGGGATGATTAAGACTGGTGATGGTATGTCTGCTGATGATGATTCAAAGGATCATTGAATTTATAGGCAGAAGGACGAGGAGGTATATGGACCGGAAAATTGCAAAAAACTAATAGAAGAACAAACAGTTAAAATAGTCATGAACTTTATTGAAACATTTGAAAACTGAAAATTTTTCACTAGATTCATTGGTGAGATCATGTTAATTCATTTGCCTCTAGCAGCGGCAACCACGTCGAAGTCTTTGATGAAATTGGATAATTCCTCTCGTTTCATTACCTCAAATAAGCCAAAGATTACAGTTTTGAAATGAGCATAAAGCAGCAACAAAAACATTCGTTGCATTTTGCATTGATCACGGAAGTGATTCAATCGAAACCAACAAATGAATCGAGTAACCTTTTTGTTTTCACATAATCCGACCAAACATCGATGCATATAAACATATTGAATATCAGTTTGTACAGAACCATTTCGTTGTTTTCGTAATTCTTTGACAATATCGGCCATATTCACTGGTTTACCACTCGAAAACAAACACTCTGCCATATCAAGACCTACGATTGTGCCTGTACGTCCAATACCTGCACGTCAACGAAGTCGATAAGTCAAAGAAACGATTGCAGTCGAACTGATAGCCATGCACATCAAGGGCTGTCACGAAGATATTCTGATACTATTATAAGATATTAAAAAATTCAGATATCAAATTCACATATTTAGATTCAGATAATATTCAGATATTAAAAAAGTAAGATATTATTACAAGAAACACAATCGACGAACCTGCAGAGCAATGGATGATGATATTGACTTGACCT